GCCCTACAGGTGCGCGACGGGCCAGGCAGGGTCGCGCGCTGCCAGCAGGGCAGCGCGACTGGCTACCGAGGGCGGCGCGAAGGCCCTAAGGCGATGCGACGGGCGGGGCCAGGCCCTAGGGCGGCGTGACGAGTAAAAAAACGCACGTCGCGCGGCCAGCAGGGCGACGCGACGGGTGGGGCAGCTCGATAGGCAGGGTAAGGCTACAAAACACGAGACTTAACGGTGGGCCCACTAGGAAATTAGGTCCTAAGACCTAACTGCTCTTTATACCATGTTAGAGTAGGTAGGTAGGTGAAGTTGACTATCGAGGGAGTTGGGTACAAGGATGAGAACCCTAAGGGGTTGTACACTACATTGGCTATCCCACTAAAGCCTAAACCTAATTATAAATCATATATAGTTTGACAGCCCGAGCATTTTGTGGGCCAAGAACAGCAATGGAATGCTTTCCTAATAACTCCTAGGTGGTGTCCATAGCAGCATGTCAACATTGGTCATTTGCACAGCACAACTTATTTTGCTGTGATATGGAGGGGAAAAGCAGTCTCTGAAGACTTCTGCAACCATTACGTCAGTTGCAAGTGTTATGTCAACAAAGACTTGTTTCTTTACAACACAAAGAGCCTGTGGACGTCTGTAGCCATTCGCTGTGAAGTTTAGCATCAATTCAGCATACGAGAGGGCGTGGGTGCAAACAAGTGCACAACGTTAGGTGCTAAAATCAGCACATCTCCTTCCTACCATTTTAAGCAGCCTCATGACTCAACCAACCAGGTTATGCTATAACCTGTAGCATCTTTGGCACCAGGAACGGAGTCCTCCTACACTATAGCCTGCCCAAGCAGCAGCTAGAGTACCGATACCGGTACCGGTACGCCTCAAACACAGCTAGACTACCTTTCTACAGTAGTATAAGTACTATATCCTTCACACAAATGTATAGCACTTAGCTTTTGGAGAGGATGCCTGAAACCCCGATTCCACACTGTCCCTGCTCCACCACCGTCCCTAGCTTGTGAGATGTCTCAAATTCCAGTGGTTGCAGCAGCCCTTTTTGTTTCCCCATACGTTGCCCCTGGCTGTGGCTCCTCTTTATTCGCTGCACTCTATGTGCTGTACTACGAGGTAAAGCACACGTACTGTTCCAGTTGGCCATGTCCCCCTTCCTTCCTCCCCCCCCTCCCTTTTGAAAGTCACTGCCATGCCTTGTCTGCTACCAGGAGACGTCGGGTGCGGGGGAGACCACCTTCAAGTCCTCATACTCGCTGTGGGCGGATTCGGCAAAGCATTAGAGTAGAGGAGAGAGATGTGGTTTGAGATAAGATGCCATGGAAATGCGAAGCCCATGAACTACGCATATGCTGATGCCACGAGAGAAGTGAACGAGAATGGCGTTTTTAACACCAGTGAGTCATGATAAATGTAAACAAAAGCGCATTTTGTGTATATCCTTAGTGTTACTCACCCGATGTAGGGTTCGTTCCAGCCACGCCAGTCGCCCGACCATCGCCCGTCGAGCACATAGCTCGCATCCCAGATGGATGCATACGTGTACATGGGTTTCACTGGGTACGGCTCTCCATCCTTGCGCTTCGCCACGCGCACCACCTTTCCATCAATCTGCCATCTGGAGTGCGGGGAGAATGGAAAGCAGCGGATGAAGGCATTAAAGAGTCAGGCCAAGTTTACCTCAGAATTTTATTTTCACGAATCCGTTTGTTCTGTTGCTTTTGATTCACCTCGTAAGTCCACTTACATGATTTGATTCTCGTTCCAGAACATGGCGTATTCGTGGAAGTCCGACGAGCAGTCGAACCCTAACGGAATCAAAACCTCCCGCCCGCCCTTGCCGTCCACGTAGTAGTTTGTCTGCACCTGCCACTTGTCCTTTCCCAGGAACTCGAAATCGATCTCGTCCTGATCCCGGCTGCCTTCTAACGAGGATAACTGCAAGGCGCGAGAGTGACGTCAGCGGGGGGAGGTGGGGGGGGGGGGGGGGGGGGGGGGGGAAGGATTGGAGCAGGGGGGGTTGGATGGCGAACCTTGAGAACTTCGAAAACGCGTCAACGTAGCGCCAAAAGGAAAGAAGATTGGAAGGGGCATCGAGGGGAATCAGCATTGCAGTCTCACTTGCGAGTCTGCAGACCGCCTTATAACGAGTATAACGGGAGAGCCAAAGAAAGAACGTACATAATAGGACTGCACCAGGCCGCTGATGTCCCCTTTGGGGCACTTGATCCGCGCGCTGAAGATGCCCGACGGGTACTGCACGTCTGTGCGCACGCGGCTTCCGCCTGCGGGGAAGAAGGAGGGGGAGGCCAGGGGAAGGGGGAGGGGGTGAGAGGCGGAACGCAGATTGAAAAGTGGCGATCCGCGCGCTGAAAAAGCCCGACGGGGTACTGCACGTCCGAGCGCATGCGGCTTCCGCCAGTGGTGGGGGGTAAAGGGGAGGCTGAGCGGCGGAGGGGCAAAGAAACTCAGAACTCGAGGCGGCAAAAACGACAAGCTGCCTGACGGGTACTGCACGTCTGAGCACACGCGTAGGGGAAAAGGCCAGGGGGATGGGGAGGAGGTAGGGAAACTTGGGGGGACGGAGGAAGAGGGGTGGAAGGTGGACACTTGGAATAAAGACTAGCGAGCACAACAATCCTTTTCGGAACATTCCCCTTTGTATTCCCCCCTGTTTCCAGTTGACCGCTTCACCATACCCAACGCTAGCCCCACAGAGCCCTTGACGATTGCCGAGTCGACTCGTAAGTCACCTCATTCCCGTCGTCTCGTAAGCCATGTCATCATAGCCAACGGTATTACCACAGACCCCACACAGTACCCACGACTCACGGCAAGGGGTTGACGTGTCCACCCGAATCTTCACATTGTTGCTGTCGACTTCCGAGAATTTCTCGCAGTAGTCGATCTCCAGAGGATCCAACGGCTCTGCTTCGCCCTTGGTGTCGATCGGGTCTACCTGGCGATCTTTCAGCCATTGGATCCGCTGCCAGTTGGCGTTGTCGTTTTTCTTCAGGTCCGGCATCAACAGGTTTGCTGCTGTCCGCGCCGCCTCCGCGAGCTCTGCCACCGACGAGTGTGGATCCGCGTTAAGGCACTCCTCGACAAGCGACCGCGCAAACGCGACTTTCCAGCCCGCTTTAATCAGCGCGCCTTTCTCGGCCAACTCAATCGCCTTGGGAATTTGAAAGTGCGCCCGAACCAGCAACTTCCCGCAGGAACTTGTCTCCTCCGCGCGCCTCGACGCTGTACCGAGAGTCGCCTCCATATAAGACAGCTGAAGGAGAACGCTTTGGGCGCGCGCCATGCCTTTAACGGGACCGTTGCTGCCGGGGCCAGTGGGCAGCGTGACAATCTCGCCGATTCCGTCACCAGAGTTGTTTTCGCCATCGTAACCTTTGACTTGGGCGGAATCGAGAACGACACCCGAGCCTCGCAAAGGGTGGTGACGTCCTTTCGTGCCGGTTCGGTGGCCCTTTTTCTTGCCGTTTCTGCTCTTGTGGCCCCCCTTTTTCCGCGTCGAGTTTCCGCCGTCCGCGGTGAAGTTTGCGAGGGCGGATTGGATCTGCGCCTCGATTTGCTGCTTCTCGGTTTTGGAGATGACTTTAAGAAGGTCCTTTTGCGTCATGACAGGAACTTGGTCGGGCGGAGTGACCTGCACGTGCGCGTCGCAAGGCGCGACGATGAGCGACGCGAGGAAGACTGCCAGGAGCGGGAGGACTATCAGGAAGGTAGCATGCCTGCTACTAGGGCGGGGCGAGTTTGTTTGAGGGACGAACGACATTGTTTGAGATACGAGTGAGCCTGTGCGAGGACTCATGTTCGCTATGTGCTATGTTTCCGAAGAGACGAGAGCCGGACGGTGCGATGTAGTCGTGGTTAGTAGGAATGGAAGGAGGAGTTCGTAGAACGATGCGGCGGCTATGCTGGTGCAAATGGACTGCTCAACAAACCACCTGGGAACGGCCTTGAGTTGGCCTTAGAAACTGTGGTGAAAGCACCAAACGGGACGAATTTAAGTGTTCCTCGAGGAAGGGCGCTCATAGCTTGTTTCCGAGAAAGGTCAAGCTTCCAACCATGACCACCCGACAGCTTCAAGTGCTAGCGCTCGTGTGAACGAGCGGGTTCGAGTGTGCGCCAACCGCCAATGGAAAATTTATCAGTCACAAAATGGAAATGCTTGAGCTAGAAATGGGAGGCATCGACGAAATTCACAAACCCGCTTCAAATCTCCTCCCCGTGTAGACGTTGCCGTAATTCAAGTGTCCGCTGACAAAGACACATGCGGCTCCGCAATCCGTCCAAATTTACAAATTCACGGCTCGGGAACGGGCCGCGAAGCAAATAGAGGGGGACATTTGAAGGGCGGGCCTGGCTTGCATATCATCCGCGCTCCAGCATTGCGCGACCAGGTTGTAACCAACCAACCACCCGTTCGTTTGGAAGCGCGACTCGGAAGTCAACTCAAAGCACCCAGCAAGTATCCAACCTAGAAGGCTGGGAAAATGGTTCCTTCTTTCGTCTGTACCTCCACGGGAGGGGAACGTATGGAAGGTTCGGGCAAAACAAACAAATTCTAGGAGGGGTAGCTGCCCCGCTTGACCAAGGCAAACGCCTCCCCCAGTTGTGGGGGTCAACAAATAGGGGTTGCTGGGGAATCCCGATTCACTTTCCGTTGGGATACTGCACATGCTCTATTTCGTAATGAGTGCGATTGCACAATGTCTACACTTATTTACAAACACATGTAAGCATTACAGGTACAGGTATCTAGTTATTGTACAAACACACCTTCTCATACATGCAGTCCAGCAGTAACATCGATGTATCCGTCAAACAGTGGGTCATGGTGTTTTTCTTCTCGTGACAGTCTACCGTGTAAAACTGGTGCGTCCGCCACTCCCGCCGACATTAGCGTTTGTAACCTCGCTCGATTTGATGCTCTGAGTGTACCCATAGCACCAACACTTTTCAAGGAAGGAGGAGCCATGGGAGGTGTTGATCCTAAAGAGCTGAGCGTTGGTGGAGAGGGAGTAACCGAAGCAGAACCGGATCCTCTAGACTGATCGAAGGTTGCAGCACTTGGAGAGAGGAATCCAATTCCTTGGGTAGGTGATACTGGTGGTGCTGCCTTCTGCTGCCCAGGAGGAAGAGGCTCCACATCAGAAACAGCAGCAACTGCCACTGGTGCTCCTGGTGCTGCTGGTGGCAGCACTGGTTGTGACACTAGCAGAGGCGATGGTGGTGGTGGTGGTGGTGGTGGTGGTGGTGGTGGTGGTGGTGGTGGTGGTGGTGGTGGTGGTGGTGGTGGTGGTGGTGGTGGTGGTGGTGGTGGTGGTGGTGGTGGTGGTGGTGGTGGTCTAACTCTAGGCTTTGCCTTGAAATTGAGCCTGCTTTGATACGCCACTCCGAGAGACCAATCCGGAGGAACAGCATTCAGAATCGTCAGCACCTCTCCGTTGCTCGCTGTCACTCTGAACGATAATGACCTCCCGCCATATTTCTTGCTCTTGGAGTAATACGCTCCCCAGTTGTGTTTGAACCGCTCCCAACCCATCCCACTTCCGTCGTTGACTTCAAACCCGGATATACTTCCAACCCCCGCCACATTATACACCAAAACTTGCAGATAATAAGGGTTTCCGGTCATTAGGAAGATTATTCCGCCCTTTTTTCTGCAGGGAACGCGCCTCATCCGCGTTTTGAGAATCCCCGCGCCTCGAATCGGGGACAGCACCTGCCAGGCAGGCTCACTCATATCCAGGTGCCGATGCGGAGCGTTACACACGCCGTTACCGCCTGGCGGGCACAGATTGGTAATTGTTATAATCACACGCTTTCCAGAGCAGACGCGAAACCCGGGCGGCACGGCCGGCGATCCAAGACACTCGACTTCGTAACACGCGCCGCAAAGCAAACCATTGTTGAAAATGCCAATAGATGCCGCAGCGGTCATGGTGCCGTAACCGGTGTTGTACAGGTTACCGTAACCGCATGCGCCGCCCATGGTGCCTGTGGCGTCAGGTTCGCCATAGAACGTGGCTGCTGCTTTGTAATCCCAACGTCCCACACCGAACCCGCTGCTGTTGTTGATGCTCACGCTGCCGCTGATGCTGATGCTGCTGTTGCTGTTGCCTCTGGCGCTGCCTTCGCTGCCGCTGCTGCTGTTGCTGGTTACAGGAGGAGGGATGGGTGATAGAGTTCCAGACACAGTGGCATTGGGGGCACTGGATTCAATAACAGGCTTTCCGGGGATGTTACTGCCACCGCCACCGCCACCGCCAACGCCGCTGCCACTGCTGCTGCTGCCGCTACCGCCGCCGCTGCTGCCGGTGCCGCCGCCGCTGCTGCCGCTGCTGCTACTACTGCCGCTGCTACCATTGTTGATGACAGGAGGAGGGGTGGGCGGTAGGGCTCCGGACACAGTGGCATTTGGGGCAGTGGGATTGATGGCAGGCTTTTTGGGGTTGCTACTGCTGCCGCTGCTGCTGTTGGCTGTTCCGTTGCCCTGCCCAGTTGCTGAGCCTGCTGTCTTGCTGGTGACAGGAGGAGGGCTGGGTGACAGGGCTCCGGACACAGTGGCATTCGGGACAGTGGGTGGGGTGACAGGCTTTTTGGGGTTGCTGGTGCTGCCACTGCTGCCGCTACTGCTGCTGGCACTTCCGTTGCCTGGGACAGCTGAGCCTGCTGTGTTGCTGGTGGTACCAGTGGGTTTCGTGCTGTTACCCGTTTGAATGCTCACGCTGCTTTGACTGCTTTGACTGCTTTGACTGCTCTGACTGCCCTTACTGTTCTGACTAGACTGGCTTGTCTGGCTGCTTTGACTGCCTTGACTGCTTTGACTGCTTTGACTGCTCTGACTGCCCTGACTGTTCTGACTAGACTGGCTTGTCTGGCTGCTTTGACTGCCTTGACTGCTTTGACTGCTTTGACTGCTCTGACTGCTCTGGCTGCTTTGGCTGTCGTTGTTGGCTCTACTGTCTCTGCTGCTCTGGCTGTTACTACTTGCGATGCTGCTGGCACTTCTCTTACTGTCACTGCTGCTGCTGCTCCTGCTACTGCTGCTGCTGCTGCTGCTGCTGCTGCTACTGCTGCTGCTGCTGCTGCTGCTGCTACTGCTGCTGCTGCTGCTGCTCGTTGCACTCCCGCCCGCTGCTGCCCCGGTCGCTGTTTCCCCGCTTGTTGCTTGTTTCCCCGTTGCCTCCCCGCTAGGTCTCCCCTTTGCAACAGCAGTGCCAGCGGGGACGGGGGAAGGAATGGCGGGCACAGACGATTGGGGCGCGGAAGCTGCGGGCTTTGGCGGAGCGGGAGGCGCAGGCGGAGCGCTCGGAGTCCCGCCGGCGCGCTTTTGCCCACCAGGTGGTGCCGAATTTGAGGAACCTGCTGATCCTGTGGATACCCTTTGAGACGCTTCAAATGCCGCGGTTGTAGCCGACTTTTGAGGTGCCTCAAAAGTCGCTTCAAATGCCGCGGTTGTAGCCGGAGCTGCGGGAGTTGCGGAGGTTGCAGAAATTGCCGAGCCGCGTGGCTTGATGAGCGAAGAAAGACCAGTGGTGGCGAGGAAGGCGAGATACGGAAGCGCGCTCAACTTGCCGCCGCGCCGCTGTAGGACCCCCGCCCTTGGCAACGGCTCGTGTGAGTCGTCGATCATTCCACCTGTCGCGATTGTGGATGGCGACGTGCCGCTGAGGATTACGATCGGAGACTCTATGGTGGGGAAGAGAGCGGGATTGCTGGGGGATAGTGATACCGGCGCCGTCACCGCCGCTGCCGCTTCCGACTCGTGTAACTCTCTAGCGACACGAATACGGGACTGTGGTGAGTTTACTCGCGGATGGTTAGAAGCTTCCCTCGACGCTTCAGACTTGTCGACCAACTCCCGCTGCTCGACCTCCCACGGAGGGATCGTTTGCGTATCGATTTCTGCTGTTTTCGCGACGTCGCTAACCGAACCGAGAAGTGGAGAGATCCGAGAATTTTCAAAGGAGAAATGCGCTAGAGCAAAGAAAATCGACGGGAACAGCGGCGTGCTTGCGAGCGTTGCGCGAGGCTTCTTGGCCGCGGAAGCGGAGCGGTTCGTAACAGCTATGCCGCTGTTGTGGGCGGCTGAGACGGAGCGAGAGTTTCGCACGACCCCATGCCCAGCCGCTGCTGCTGCTGGCAGACGCGGCTCGATCTCATGCCCAGTCGCTGCCGCTGCTGCTGCTGCTGCTGCTGCTGCTGACACGTGCGGCGTTTGCGGCACGGAAGTTGCCTTAACCATAAGTTCATGCGCAGATGCTGCTGCAGATAGGCGCGGCTCGATCCCGATAAGTAGTAGTAGCGCAGCGACGGCGTAAAGCGCCCAGAGCCTCAAATCGGCCCGGCTCTGGTAAGTAAGGGATGAATATGATCGAGAGCGGATCGCTGCCATACGTGAGTTGCGGGAAGAAAAACCTTGGAAAATTTCTAATACGCGCAGCGGGGAAAAAAAATTGTTACGTCGTTCCGGAGAAGGAGCGACGCACGAGTGTTGCGTTACCACCAGAAGGAACTAGTCGTTCCTGTCCTGCGTTCAAAGATTTCTGAGTCGCCTAACAGGTCAGCTTATACCGAACATATCAATAAGAATCTTCGCTGCTAAATATTTCCAATAGCCCTGCGAACACCTTAGTCTGGACGAGAGTGGTAGATTGTTAGGGAAGCGATAGGACCGAGGAGTTCTTCTAATGCTACTACTACTATGGCTATTGGGACGCACGCCTGTGTACATAGCATGTTCTAACTTGCAGCATAACGACAGAGCACGAGCACTGTGAGAAGCGAAGAACAAAACTACTTCGATTCAGTAAGTAACCAGCAGGCATAATTGAGGGCTCAGTAGCCAGTTGTCAACCGTATTATGGGTTCAATATGCACCTGTGATGCTTCAAAGCGTTTCCTGACACCTCGGTAACTTGAACCTATGCCAGCCAGCGGCAGACGTGACGCACGTTTCAAGATTCGCGAATCTCGCCAGTTTCTCTCCAGGCTTATGGTCACAGCTGCTTTTACGAGCCTGGCGTCGCCCCTGTCTCTGTGCACGTCGCGCCTATTTCTTCTGACAAACCACCATGAATGCAAGTCGAAAAACCAACGAGAAACGAGATTTGAGGAATCCTCTAGCTTATACTGCTAACTGGGACTGCTATCTTCCCCCATTTGAGGCAGGGGCGAATTTGGGTAATGTTGAAAATGTCGGCACCGCGACTCGTAAAGTGGGCGGATTTTGAAATCTGGAGGCTTCTTCTCCCCCCTGCACCACTCTTCGGGGGACCCGAACGGTCCGCTTAGTCAGCAAATAGGGCGCATACGTGGCGCTGGTTGATGTCGGAACGTGACGGCCGCCGCGTTTCCCGCCCTTTCAACGACGATGGCGAAACGGGGCTCCAACGTACCTGTTCTCCGCTTAGCTGACGCAATTCCAAACACTTATATTCAGTGGTCGTGTAAGCCATTGAAAACCCTTCTAATAGCTAGCTGAAATTCATTAGCACTAAACAGGGAACCCCCTCAAGATTATTTGCAACGGTTATGATCAGGAATACGAGGAAGAATGAAGGGAAATAAACATCTCGTCAGCCCTAGGTCGTACCTATTGCTTAGATAGGATACTAATGCCTAAGATGCAATTGCACTGCACCCTACCATTAGAAAGGATTTTTAGAAATCCAACTGTCTATTTTTCAGCGGATGCGAGTCGAACTCCGACGCCTTGTACGTAGTAAAGTTGATCTTCACAACTTGGAATGTATCCAAATGAAGGTGCTCATAACCAAACTTGCGTAACACTTGGTTGTCAGCAAAGTTGAACGCCCTGTGATTCACAGGCAAGGAAAAAACGGTGAAGGAAAAAGAACACAAACATAGGACAAACCAAGCAAGCACTGGATCTGCAATAAACGTTTTATCCTATTGTTTCCTTGCCATTTTGTCTCCATCTTTGTACCACACCGCTCTCTCCTGCTACTCTGATTGACCCAAATTGCTGCAGGCTTGTAGTCTCAACAGTTACCACTCAGCTTCGAATCAACCAGAGTCCTGAAGTGTCCTGACAACTTGCAGTGCGACCCTTCTCCAATCACCCACCTCTCCATGTCCACCCCCTAGCTCGCACCCTCCTCCATGCACTCACCTCTCCATGTTCTCCACACATCGCTGTGTCTCATACTCTATCTGGCCAGTCTTGCTGCACGACTGGTACCCCGCAAAACTAGCATCTCACTAGTGCTCTCACCCATCCATGCACCCACCTCTCCATGTTCTCCACGCATCGCTGTGTCTCCTCGTACTCAATCTGCCCGATCTTGCCGCACGGCTTGCACCCCACAAAGTGGGTAATCAGCGGCCACCGGTGGTCTCCGTAACCCGGGTGGTACTTGTCCATCAGCTCCTCGTAGCTGTCAGCGGGTTGGGGGGGGGTTGGCGTGGGCGAGGTAGGAATAACAAGAGAAGGTGAGCATATCATTCACCAGAGGGCACCGGTGGTCGCCATACCCTGGGTGGTGCTTGTCCATCAGCTCCTCGTTGCTGTGGACATGAGGTGAAGGGGAAGGGGACGGAGGGTGGAAGGGGGGGGAAGAGGCAGAGGGAGAGGGAGCAAGGTATATGAGAGGCCAATGGTGGTCACCGTACCCCGGGTGGTGCTTGTCCATCAGCTCCTCGTAACTGTCAGGTGTGGAGGGAGGAGAACGTGTACTAGGGGAAGCAGGGGGCAAGACACACGGTGAGCAGTGGGGGGTAAGATTGTAATGAGCAGCCACCGGTGGTCACCATACCCCGGGTGGTGCTTGTCCATCAGCTCCTCGTAACTGTCAGGTGTGGAGGGAGGAGAACGTGTACAAGGGGAAGCAGGGGGCAAGACACACGGTGAGCAGTGGGGGGTAAGATTGTAATGAGCAGCCACCGGTGGTCACCATACCCCGGGTGGTGCTTGTCCATCAGCTCCTCGTAGCTGTGGTAATAAGGGGGGTTGTGGGGGTGGGAAGAGGGAGAGAGAGGGAACAGGGTAAGAGCACAATCCCCATCCCTTTCGTCAGCACATCCTTTGTAAGGCTCACTGAGGGGCGATGGTGGGCCGGACGGAGAACAGCACGAAGGAGCTCGAGCTCGAGCTCGAGCTCTCCAATTAGATGTGCTTGGCTCACACCAAGTGATAGTGGGACCTAGGCAAGGGAACATGTGCGGCAGCATGCGACTCACTGCGGGGCGATGGTGGGGCAGAAGGAGTGCAGCATGAAGGAGCATCCAGGTGAATGCCCTTGGCGCACATGCTCATACACACTCCAAGCCCTTCGTGTCAGCACACTCTTGTTTCAACTGTTTTCAACTGTTTTCAACTGTTGTGACTCACTGTGGCGTGATGGTGGGCCAGAAGGAGTGCAGCATGAACGAGCTCTCCAGGTGAATGCCCTTGGCGTACTTCTCCGGGTGGTAAGCCATCATCCACACTATGGCGCTCTGATCATCTCCCTCAAACATGGGGCGGGTCTGCACGCGGGGCGGGGTGGTGGGAGAGAGGAGAGAGCGACAGGGGAAGGAGAGGGGTAAGAGCAGCAGAGAGCGGGAGGAGGAGACTGTAAGCCATCATCCACACTATCGCACTCCTGTGTTCTCCAGGTAGATGCCCTTGGCGTATTTCTCCGGGTGGCAAGCCATCATCCACACTATGGCGCTCTGATCGTCTCCCTAAAACATGGGGCGGGTCTGCAGGTGGGGGGGGGGGACGGAGAAAGGATAGGAGAGGAGGGCGACAGGGGGGAGAGAGGGAGAAGAGCAGGCGGGAGAGGACGAGACTGAGCAGCAGAGAGCAGCAGAGAGCAGGAGGTGAATGCAGCGGTACGAGATGCCTCACATCATACTACTGTTTGAGCGTCTGAGATCTTCAATAAATCACTTAAAAGGAGTGGCAGCATCGACGGCTGATGTAATGCTTACAGAGAGCTCTTTGAACTGCGTCACGCCTGCTGCGTCCCTCATCGCCCCCTTCACCCCAAACTGCTGTTTAGAATGCAACTACGAGTGCATACCCGGTCAGTTGGTGGCTTACAGAGAGCTCTTTGAACAGCTTCACGCCTGCTGCATCCCTAATTGCCCCCTTCAGTAAGTGCTTACGACGAGGTCGCACCAGAGAGTGAGAGTGAGGGAGAGAGGTTGGAATATGCAGGGAGAGGGGTCTTACAGAGAGCTCCTTGAACAGCTTCACGCCTGCTGCGTCCCTCATCGGCCCCTTCACTCCGAACTGCGCCAAGTCCTCCATGAAGTCAAGCGACCACTGGGGGGGAGGAAGAAGAGGGGAATGGGAGAAATGGGGAGTGAGAGGGATTCAGAGGTCCTGGGATCAGGAGCAAGAATAGGCAAGCCCCTTCACTCCGAACTGCGCCAAGTCCAGTCAAGCGACCACTGGGGGATGAGGGGGGAGTTCGAGAGAAGAAGGGGGTTTAAAAAGGTATTCAGAGGCACTGCAGTACGGAGCAAGGGAAGGCAGGCACCTTCACTCCGAACTGCGCCAAGTCCTCCATGAAGCCAAGCGACCACTGCGGGGGAGGAAGAGGGGAATGGGAGAAATGGGGGGTGAGAGGGATTCAGAGGTCCTGGGATCAGGAGCAAGAATAGGCAAGCCCCTTCACTCCGAACTGCGCCATGAAGTCAGGCGACCACTGCGGGAGAGAGCAAGGGGAGGGGGGGCAAGGGGATGCGAAATGGAGGTGTGGAGGAAGAATCAGAACAAGGGAAGGCAGGTTCCTTTACGCCAAACTACGCCAATTCCTCCCTGAAATTCAACAACTTCACAGTGCAGGGAGTTTATGAGAATTTTCAAAAACTCCCTGCAATTCATCCCTGAAATCCAGTGACTTAACAATGGGAGAGAGAGAAGAGGGGGGAAGCAAGGAGATGCGAGAGGAAGGCATGAGAGGAGGAATTGGAGCAAGCGAAGGCACACCCCCTTCACTCCGGACTGAGCCAACAGAAGACTCAGACTTGTAGGCGAAGAGATGGCCACAGGGCCGTGTGTATACGCGGGTATGGAGCTCAACAGGAGGCGGGGAGGGTGCTGGTGACATTGGAGTCGACTCAAAAGACACCTCGTTTTGAGTCGACTCAAAAGACACCTCGATTTGAGTCGACTCAAAAGTCACAGACTGGTAAGCGAAGAGATGGCCACAGGGCATTCTGGAGACGCGGGTATGGAGCTCAACAGGAGGCGGGGAGGGTGCTGGTGACATTGGAGTCGACTCAAAAGACACCTCGTTTTGAGTCGACTCAAAAGTCACAGACTGGTAAGCGAAGAGATGGCCACAGGGCATTGTGGAGACGCGGGTATGGAGCTCAACAGGAGGCGGGGAGGGTGCTGGTGGTGACTTGTGAAGATTTCCAAGAACACCCAGCGATCAGCAGGGAGGGAGGAGGGTGGGTAATCATGGTGGTGGTGGCTGTGGCTGTGACTGTGACTGACCTGCGAGTTCCGGATAAGGTAGATGCCAGCGTCGAGCCCCACCCTGTGATGCACACAGCATGTCGTGATACCATGTGGTACACATCCTCCTAAACCCATGATTCTCCAATCGACTCAGAAATGGTTGTGGCGATGTGACTGACCTGCGAGTTTCGGATAAGGTAGATGCCAGCGTTGAGCCCCACCCTGTGATGCACACGGTACGGCATGATGTGGTATGGCGTGGTGGAGAATGGCATGGTATGATGTGGTATGGTGTGGCATGGTGGTACGGCATGGAAGACACAGAATGACACGAGAGAGAAGTCAGGAGCTTCATACGCCTCATAAGCACAGCATGGCATTGCATGGCATGGTGTGGCATGGCATGGCATGGCCTGGCATGGCATTGCATGGCATGGTGTGGCATGGCATGGCATGGCCTGGCATGGCATTGCATGGCATGGTGTGGCATGGCATGGCCCAGCGCAGCACAGCACGGCATGGGTATGGCATGCCGAGCGAGTCATATCCGTGCATCACCATGTGAACGTGGGTGATGAGAATCACAACACACACAGCATCTACGGTTTCAAGGGGCTCACCAGTCCTTCTTGCCATAGACCAGCGAGTCATATCCGTGCATCACCATGTGGACGTGTGGCTCGTACTTCTCAAACGGCACATCAAACGTCATGTCTGTTTAAGTGGGGGGGGGGGAGAGAGGCGGGGCCGCAGGGAAACGGGGAGGAGTGGGGCAGGGGAACATCAGCATGAGTATCCGTGCATCACCATGTGGACGTGTGGTTCGTACTTCTCAAACGGCACATCAAACGTCATGTCTGTAGGACAAACGAAGGAGGGATGGCGAGAGACGCGGAGAGTTGGACAGAGATGGCGAGAGATGGCGAGAGATGTGAAAGAGATGTGAAAGAGAACGGGTGTCGTGTCGAGCGTTTGATCTGCGATTGAGGTGCATGAACAGCCCTTGCACCTGATAAACGGCACAGCAATTCACCGCTGTACACCCATTCCCAGCACAAATAGACCACTCATTCTCAAATAGACCCCGAACCATGGACAAAGCACCGGAGTCCATCCAACAGAACCACTCCACCTCGGCGTGGGACAGCATCAGCTTCCCCTCCTGTACAGCACTTACAGTAAGCCAGCACCCTCTGCAACGCACTGCACCGCACTACACCCACTCTCACCTGTGAAAACAGCATCGGAGTCCATCCACCAGAACCACTCCACCTCGGCGTGCGACAGCATCAGCTTCTTGCCCTCTGGAACCTCTCAATGCACACCTCCCAGCACCTCTTCAAACCGGCTTTCACCGCGCTGCACCGCACTACACACCACTCCCTCACCTGTGAAAACAGCATCGGAGTCCATCCACCAGAACCACTCCACCTCGGCGTGCGACAGCATCAGCTTGCGCAGCAGCGGCAGCTTCACCCAGAACGAGTCCATAGAGCGATCCAGAATGGCCGTGCTGTAGTAGATCTGATAGGAGAGGGAAAGGATGGTGCCGGGGGGCCCAGGGGGACGCAGAGGGGAGGTTGGAGGGTGGTGGGTGAAGGGTCACCCAGAACGAGTCCATAGAGCGATCCAGAATGGCCGTGCTGTAGTAGATCTGATAGGAGAGGGAAAGGATGGTGCCGGGGGGCCCAGGATGACGCAGAGGGGAGGTTGGAGGGTGGTGGGTGAAGGGTCACCCAGAACGAGTCCATAGAGCGATCCAGAATGGCCGTGCTGTAGTAGATCTGATAGGAGAGTAAGCAAGGGGGAGGGAAACAAGGTAGAAAAAAAGGAGTGCGGGGAGGGGTTGGTCAAGAGTCACCCAGAACGAGTCTATAGAGTGATCCAAGATGGCTGTGCTGTAGTAGATCTGCCAGGAGAGGCATGAGGGAAATAGTCCAGTACGCCAATATCGCATGGCGAGCAGCGCTCGATACAGTCACGTCGCACCTGAATGTCCCGCGGCGAGCAGTAGTCGAGCTTGTTCTTGAGCGACTTGAGCAGCAAATCGGTTGAGATTCAGACACACAGCAGTTCAACAACCCCGTAATCCGCACTCCGTATGCCCTCTCCCCACCTGGATGTCTCGCGGCGAGCAGTAATCGAGCTTGTTCTTGAGCGACTTGAGCAGCAGGAAGTCGCCCACGTCGTTGTCGCACACGCCCGGCTGCGACCCCGTCACCAGCATCACGCGCGCCTTGCCCTGCCGCGTCTCGTTGCAACCGGGGTGTTTCCGCACATAGTCCGCGCGCTGCTCGTCCCAGTCTGCGCGGAAGGGGAAAGGAGGGAGGGGGGGGAAGGGGAGGGGACCAGAAGGAAAATGGAGGGTAAGAGCAGAAAGAGAAGACCGTTTGGTTGAATCCACAAAGCGACCCCAGACTGGTGTCACCAGCATCACGCGCGCCTTGCCCTGCCGCGTCAAGTAGTCCGCCCGCTGCTCGTCCCAGTCTGCGCGTGGGGAGGGGGGAGAGTGGGGAGGGGGGAGAGAGGGGAGGGGGGGAAAGATGAGACGGTCAAGCCAATTCGCGTCTCGTTGCTCTCCGGGTGCTTCCGCATGTAGTCCGCGCGCTGCTCGTCCCAGTCTGCGGGGGAAGGGGAGAGGGGGGAAGGGGAGGTTAGGGCAACGGACTGGAGGGGAAAACGAGGGGAGCGGGGAGAGAAACGGGGAATTGGACGGGGAGAGGCGGAAAGAGAAGACTGTTGATTTGCTCGCTGGGTGCTTGTGCACGTAGACTGTGCGCAGCTCGTCCCAGTCTGCGGGGGAGAGAGTGGGGAAGGGGAGGGAAAGGGCAGGGGGGGAGAAACGAAGTGCCGAGCAGGAGAAGGGAAATTGGGAGATGGACAAAACTGATCGTCGTGTCGATCCGAAGAGAACTACCAGCACTCAGAACTACCGGGGATTTAAGTCGCTTCGCCAATGCGGGGCAAACAATTATCGATCATATACGTGCGCAGCAGGAACGCACCCCTTTGACTTCTGCGATAATTCAACAGACGACTCGCGGTGGCAGGCACGCACTGGAAAACCTATGCGGACTCGCGGTGGCAAGCACGCACTGGAAAACCTATGCGGACTCGCGGTAGCTCCAGAAGAAAACATTCCCTTCAAACGTCCGACTTGAGGCACCTCCTCATATATTGACGTGCAGAGCCAGACTCACCAGTAATCTTCGGGCCCAGCAGGATCCGCTCCCCTTTGGCGGCTGCGTGTCCGGCATGGATTCGTCCATCCCTCGAGGTAGCTTTTGCGTCGACTCAAGAGACACTCACCAGTTATCTTCGGGCCCAGCAGGAACCGCTCCCCCTTGGGCGACTGACTTGAGGCACATCCTCATGTATCGACACGCAGAGCCAGGAAACTAACCAGTTATCTTCGGGCCCAGCAGGAACCGCTCCCCTTTGGGCGGCTGCGTGTTCGGCATGGATTCGTTCATCTCCCGCTTGTCGCGCGCCCGCTGCTCCTTCCGCCATCGCTCCACCGCCGCGCGCACCATCTGCCTCTGTGCCTCGCGATCCTCCGCCTGCCATAAAGACGGGAGCATTTACGGACGAATCAAGCAAGGATCGACGTTCATGGATGTCCAAGCGATGAAAACGGGTGGCTTTGTGAGGTCGTAGAGAATAATACGCGGTTATTCACGGATGTAGCAATTCAGGATTGACGTTTCTACTTAGATGGCTTTCGGAATGGTCAAAGGCAACTCCAGTACGAACGGGGGCATTGACAGACTTATCAAGTAAGGATGGGCGTTTCTATCCGAGTTGCGTAGAATTGTGATCGACGTGTCTTTCTCTTTAAACTCCTTGTATGATATCATGTGATCACCCGTTTCTGTACTTGTCGGGTGGGTATCACTGAGTCAACAGCGTATTTTTTCAGTCGACTCCAAAGATCTCGTCAGGCTCGACACAGTGGTAGAAACAGCCGTGTGAGAATCGTTTGAGTCGATTGCGCTCGCCTGGCTTGATCAATTCGTACTCTATAAATCTGCATGTCTGCATAGGTACTTCAGCGACAGCGAGGCTGCACGAAACTGACGGCGCGAATCACGCTTCTGGTCTACCATGTCCCCCCATCAACATCACCAGAAGCCATGCCCCTTATTCTGCCTCGTTATGCTACCGCCACTGTCACGCAAGTGTATTAAAGTCTTCCGAGCGAGTAGCAAGATACCGCCAGCACTGGAGCGTCGTAATAGAAGCAGACTAAGGAGGACATGGATCGGAACATGGGATACCTGTGACGGAGCTTCTAACAGACGCCTCCGCGGCCCTCTCGAGCTTTCATCGGCCACTGACTGGTGGATCATCGTGTCGGATAGGAACTCTTCCGGCGACGGGACGGACGGGAGGACATGGACCGAACATTGGATGGGATACCTGTGATGGAGCCTCTAGAAGACGCCTCCGCGGCCCTCTCGAGCTTTCATCGGCCACTGATACTCCCGACTGGTGGATCATTGTGTCGGATATGAACTCTTCCGGCGACGGGACGGACGGCAGGAGGTGAAAGCGTTGGCTCAGGCCGAGCACGAGGAGAAAGAAGAAGCACGTGAAAAGGTCCATCCTATTGAATAACGTGGACGCCATGGCTCGGACCTGATCGATCCTACAGCTGATCTTACGTATCTCTGCGACCTGGTAGCGAAGGACCTTATGTGTGAATGATTCTGGGCATGCAAGAGCAGGAGGCGTCGGGTCTAATTAGACTTGCACGATTTTCCTCAACTTAATTGTTCTAGGAGCGACTCGTAATGGCTGAGATCGACGCTAGAAAGGGCTAATCACAACGCCCCTGAAAACTTCGTCACTACTTCAGTCTTCCAGACAAACAGCTAACCAACACCATGCCCACACTAGAGAGATGCGCTGAAGGCTGGGGAGGGGGAGAATCAGGTGAGCTCGAGGCTGGAGTTTTGTGGTGAAGGATGATATCGAGGTTCACAAGACAAACGAGAAGAACTCATCTCCGCCGTCAACGATGGGGACACGTGCCTGACATCCATAAGCTGCGACACGGTTTGCCTCCATCCGAGCCTACCGGGGCGTGGAAAGCCTGTTTTGACAGGCTCGGAGCAGTCAGAATTAGTTTGGTTCTGTGTCGCTTAGGTATGGTTCCCTTCACCTTCAGTCACTGGCACGAGGAGGTTGTGACTAAGTGCACGCGGGAACAAATTTGATTGGCTGCTGACTGAAGTTGAGCACACTGTACCCTGGTCAAAGTCGGAGCGCTGCGGGGTCGAAGCGTCTTGTCTCGTCCGACTGCAAGCAGCGTCCAACGCAAGTTCGATAACGGCCACCTCGATAACGCGAAGCCCACCGCTCGGCAAGGTAATTGAAGTCTAGACAGGTCTAGGGCCAGAGTATGGCATGTGATTAATTTTGTACGCATTTAATGCGACTCATGTTTAGGGCTTCATTGCACATTTCAAAATGAGAAACATTAGCATCACATGAAACATAATGCCAACACTTGAGCCCATCCTCATCCTACTGCACCAGAAGGGGCTTGTAAAACTCGCCCCACCCACAAAAGCTGAGCAGGAGCGGGTACCGTACACAGGCATCTAATCCTTGAGCGAAGGCCTGATTTCAATAATTTTGGCCCAAGAGCGCATGCCCATGTCTCATTTACACAGCGGGAGGAGGAGCCCCAGGAGCACCGGGAGCGCTGCCATAGTCGCCACCACCATACCCCCCAGCTCCACGGCCAAAGCCACCGCGGCCGCCACCCTGAGGCACAGTTCAGGACAATTGCACGCACATTACATTATGAGCTGCGCAGCCCACACCCCAGAAACAAAATCTGGACTATCTGGACTATCTGGACCATCTGGACTATCTGAGAAGCTGCAGGAGTGACAGTGCAGTCGAACCGCAAGGGGCAGACGGATTGCAACAAGTGTTAGGCAGCACACCACGCCCAAACTTGCTCCTTGCAGTCACATTATTTCTTAGCTAAAAGTTAGTGTAGAAAGGCTCACCTCCCTGAAGGCTGGCTTGTATGCGCCCGGAGCACCGGCCTTGTCATCACCACCAGCACCGTACCCGCGGTATCCCTCGCGGTCCCCATAGCCCCGTCCACCCTCGAAACGGCTGGAGCATGGGAGGTACGGGAGGGAAGATGATAAGGATTTGCCAACCGAGTTTGCCCACAGTATCAATTATTGGCCTGGCCAATTTAAACAGTTCCTATTGTAGTCCTTGGAAACGGGGGTGGGGGTCGAGAGCACCCATGGGGCAGAGTTAACATGTTGACTGACATTGACTAGCGTTGACTAGCATTGACTCACTGGGGAGGGCGGTCGCCGCCAGCGCCCATGGGGCGGCCGGGCGGGCGGGAGTACTTTTTGAGGGTGGCGGGGACGATCTCAGAGAAGCCTTACCCCACGTTTGACCTGCGCTGACTGGCGTTGACCAGCGTTGACTTACCGGGGGGGGCGGTCGCCGCCAGCGCCCATGGGGCGGCCGGGCGGGCGGGAGGACTTCTTCAGGGTGGCGGGAACGATCTCGGAGGGGAGGTTGAGGTAGTCGCGGAGGTGCTCGATGCCCTCGTTGGTGAGGTACCAGTAGTAGTGCCGCCACGCGAACGTCTCGCGCACAAACCCCTTCGACTTGAAGCTCTGCATCAGCTTGATCACCTGGGGGGGGAGGGGGAGAGAGGGGGGTGGTGGCGGCGGGGGGCGGAGAGGGGGGGGGGCGCGGGCGGAGAGGGAAACGGGGAAGAGCCGGGTAGAAAATGTAAAGGGAAGAGGAAAAGCGTCAGATGAGGAAGGGGAAGAAAGGAGGGGAAAGAGGGGGAGGTGAGGTTGAGGTAGTCGCGGAGGTGCTCGATGCCCTCGTTGGTGAGGTACCAGTAGTAGTGCCGCCACGCGAACGTCTCGCGCACAAACCCCTTCGACTTGAAGCTCTGCATCAGCTTGATCACCTGCGGGGGGGAGAGGTGGGAGGGAAGGGAGGTGGGAGGGAATTGGGTTGGGGGCGGAGGGATAAGGAGGGAGTGGTGGGAGCGGGGAGATGAGGAGGGAAGGGTGGGTGTGGGGGTTTCGGGTAATACGAGACAAGGACTTAGGGAGGACGGCGGACGGACAATGGTATACCAGAATGCTATCCCAGACAGCTAATACACGCCAGGAGTCTCGAGATCGGACCAAGGCTACTCACTTGCAGGTTGGGGACCTCGAGCTCGGGGTGCTTGGGCAGGTTGAAGTCCTTCTCCGCGAACAGGACTCCCTCTGTTGGGACGAGGGGCCAGGGAAGGGGAGAAAAAGGGGAAGAGGAAAAGGAAAAGGGTGAGAAGACAGAAAAGAGGCTGGGAGCTCGGGGTGCTTGGGCAGGTTGAAGTCCTTCTCCGCGAACAGGACTCCCTCTGTCGGAATGAGGGGGCAGGGAAGGGGCGAGAGGGGCAAGCAGGAATGAACGGGGTGAGATGACACAAGAGGGAGCTCTGGGTGCTTGGGGGAAAGGGGAGGCGGGGCCAAGAGGGGCGGAAGGGTAGGAAGGGGTAGTGGGGGCAGGTTAAACAACTGTGCTAGTGACCCTCGAAACTCTCAGAGTTTACTTGTTCGACAAAATCAATAGTGAGATATCCGTGCTACGGCGCTTCCCTTACGATCGACCGGTCGACGCGCCCACTGGTCGACCCTGCGCGGACACTCACGCGCGCGGACACACGTGCGCGGGGACGACAAGCCCCACCAAGATTTTGAGCTCTTTAAGGCGCCTCGACACAAGATTTCTGAATCGGGTCCCCAAGTCGAACAGTTACAGACGGGCTGAAGCCAGGCCACAAAATTGCCACTCGCGCCTCGAGTCTCGAACCTCTCTGCTAACGTCACTCTCTGCGCAATCCTTTTATCACTCAACTAACGTCACTCTTTGAACCAATTCTGTGATCTCTCCACTAACGTAACTCCAGGCACAAATTCTCTAATCTCTCGCCGCATTGCCACCACCGATCCCGGAGCATCTCGAGTCTTCAGACGTACGCAAAAAGCGCCGGCTCATAACAATCAACTCCGTCAAACTAATCTCAAAAACAATTTTCCGCCGAAAGAAACATCTGCCCGAATCTGCTGTCTCTCCGTAACGGCCGTTCGATGGCAAGAAACCAGCCATCGCGTTACACCCCTTCCCTTCCTCTGGCCGCACAAGCATTGCCGTTTCGAACCGCTTTAAAAACTCTAACCATCGTTGACACTCCTTGACCCACCTTTTCCCCCACTCCACTCCCTTTTTCCCCCTTCCCCCCTAATATCCCGCTTCTCTTCACGTAAGGATCTGTAAAACTGAATCGGCCAGGGTAATTTGGAGGCAAATGGGAGAACGAAAGTGTGGAGCAGAGAACGGTGGAGGGGGAGGGAAGACGCAGCACTTAAGAGATGGACGAACAGGGGGGGAATGAGAGTGGGGGGGAGGGGGGAGGGGGAGGAGGAGGAGGGGGGAAGCGGGGAGGGATGCGGGGAGCTGGGGAACGAGCAGGAAGACTCACCGCTGAAGAGGTACTTGTAGACCAAGAGACGGTTCTTTTTGGGGACCAACTGCAGGCACGAACGGAAGGAGAGACAGGGAAAACGGTGTAGGTTGAAAATAAAGAATCGGGGGAATAATTAGTTAACGATCAGTTTCAGTATGCTTCGCGTAGCTGACTCAGACATCTGGTTTGCTAAACTGCACGAAGCTGGAGTATCGTTGCTGTGTAACACCGTCGGTAAAAGCGGCATATTATTCGGGACACTACCAGTGCACTGTACTATCCGTCCACTCGGCCGGCAAAAAGTTCTGGAGATGACCTCTTAACGCCGATCATGAAGCAAGCTATAGACGCGGCCATGAATCATAGAGGCACTCGGTGAAATGTTTCAGACGTCCGTCGAATTACATGGCAAACGGCAAGCCTCTAAGCTTAACTTGGCCAAGGAAACCAAAATGTCAGGGCTACAGATAAGAATTCCAGGCCATGACAAACCCACGCCATGGGGGAATTCGATTTAATACGGCACGAAGCGAAGCGCTTGTCGTCGATACTACGTATAGAGCTGATACATCTAACCCTAAATTTGGTCCGCAAAAACCGCTTACACCCTAAAACCAGGTCACGGAGCGCTACCTATCCGCAAAAAATTAGACCGGAATAAAAACGGCACAGCCATCCCAGTCGTACCATTTTGCCCGACCGCAGCTGGATCCGCGGGAGACGGGGTAAGACAAGTTAGGGACTGAGGTAAGAGAAACAGCTCAAGGCGGAGCTCGAGGGAGGAAAGGGGAGAAAGGTAGAGCAGAGTGAAAGAAAATGGAGCAGTAGGAGCAGCAGCAGCAGCCGCGAGGGGAGCAGCAGAGCAGACAGGAGAGGGTGCGGTGGTGAGCGGGCGACGAGGGAGAGCAGCAGAGAGGAGGCAAGCTCGAGGGAGGAGGGAGAGGGGAGGGGCAAAAAGGCGGGAGTGGGAGGGCGGGAGGAATAACCGAGGTGAGGGGGTGCACGGGAATGTGATATTTGATAATTTATGGGCAGGGGCGGGTGGTGTGACGCTAAGTACAGCTTTTGAAAGCAAGGCATCCAATGTCGCTTAGCTTTAATGGGCTCGCGCTTAGTGAAATGCGGATGTCTACGACGGGAGGTTAGAATTCAAGGTAATGGTAGATCAGGCTAGAATTCACGGGGCTGGAAAAAGGAAACTCGATTGTTGCCTAAAATATATGGTCTCACCGAGGGTGTGGCGTACCACCACAGAATTATTACCGCAATCACACATGACAACCAAATCGTTTAATCACCAAATTTTCGGTAGAACGAATAAATTTAGATATGGTAGCTGCCTTGTCACATCCTTTGCACCACAAGCAAAATGTCGGTAGCTTATCCAATCATACAAAATCGTTAACAGGTCCAATGTATGTGTAATTGCACTATATGGTAAGAATTGCTGCGATCAGAAGTTGATTGTGGCCTAGGATCTACTCAGGAAGGTTCGCACGCAGAGAAGTGGTGTTGGTGGGCCCTTGACCTCAATAGCAGAGTGAATGTAAATGCTTGAGATGATTAAGACATGCATATACAACGATATAAATAAGATTACAGGGGAATATGATGAGAAAAAGCTAGCCATGTACTCTAAGGGGTACATTCCCTTATTCAAATACATTCCCAACTGTGCGGCGCGAACAGTTACGAAACTGTTCCCGCCGAAACCATCCTGCCTGCAGCTGCTTGATGCTGTCTGCTCCGACGGTTCAGATGCGTTCCAACCGTCTGACGCTTCGCGTTCATTCGCGATACTACGTGCTTCTCTTTGCTGCGGTGAGGAGTGCACAGTAATGTTCAAGTATTACTATTCGTAACACCCCCCTTCACTCCTGGCCGCAGCTCGACTTGACCTGCTTGACCACGCCGCTGAGTTCGGAGCAGTGCTGATACTGCTGGCGTGGCAGTCGCTTCGTGAGGAAGTCTGCTGCCATATCACCGGTCGGGCAGTAGGTCAAGTTGACCTTGCCCTTGTCCACCTCATCCTTCACGAAGAAGTACCGCAGCGCAATGTGCTTGGTGCGGTTGACGAAACCAGGTTTGTTTGCGATGCGAATTGCGCTCTGGTTGTCGCAGTGCAGGCGAAAGTTTGTTGAGGCCGGAATTTTTGCTTCCTGCAGCAGTTCCTGAAGGTAGAGACCTTCGCGAACAGCTGCTGTTGCTGCGATAAATTCAGCTTCCGCCGATGACAGGGCAACCAACTCCTGCTTCTGAGAGTTTAAGGAGATGGGGCCGCTGGGCTGGAGGCGGAAGAGGAACCCTGTCCTGGACCGTCGATTGTCAGGGTCAGCGGCGTGATCGGCATCCACGTAGCCGACAAGACTGAAGGATGTGGTTGGGATGGTGGAATAACTGAGCCCGACATTAGGCGTGGAGATGAAGAATTGAAGGGCTCGCTGAAGATCTGAGAGATTTTCGGCCGTTGGTTTGCGTGAGTACTGAGCCAACTGGCTCGCAATGTAGGAGAGGTCGGGCCTGCAGGTAACGGATGCGAAAAGCAGGCATCCCAACTGCTGCTGGTAAGTGTGAAGCCCAACAGGGGACAGGGCTTTGCTGTCAGGCTTGTGGTTGGGTCCTGGAGTGCGGTAAGGGGTGGAGAGTGGTGCAGGCGCAATGTTGAAGCGCTTGCTGAGCTCCTCCGCATACTTCGCCGCTGAGAGATGAATGGCTTCCGGCGAGTAGGTGATGTTGAGTCCGAGAAACTGTTTCACGTCATGATTGCAGGTGATGTCGACGCGCCCTACGAGGCTTCTCTCAAAATGCTCGAGCAGTTCGCTGCTTGAGCCTGTGTAGAGAAGGTCGTCGACGTAGACCGTGAGGAGGATGTATTCGCCGCGGAAATCGCGACGATACATTCCAGGATCGTGAGGCAGCTGCTTGAACCCGATTTCAAGCAATATTTTGTGCAGATACTGCTGCTAGAGTCTCGGTGCTTGTTTGATCCCATAGAGGGACTTGCGTAGCTGACAGACGCGTAGGTCTCCGTCGCCGTAAGTGTGTGGCTGTTCCACGTAGATCACGACGTCCACTAATGCGTACATGAACGCATTCTTCACATCGATCTGCCGGAGTGGTAGGTGTTGTGCGGCTGCGATGGCGAGGAGAATTCTGACGGACGTGTGACGGCTGACCGGTGCAAATGTCTGGTCAAAATCAATCCCGTGCCTTTGATCGTAGCCGTGTACCACCCAGCGTGCCTTGAATCGCTCAATCCTTCCGTCGGCTCCTGTCTTCACTCGGAAGACCCATTTGCTGGAGAGAATCCTTCTCCCCTTTACTGCTGCACGGTCGACGAGCACCCAGGTGTCGCGCGACTCGAGTGCCCGGATTTCCGCATCCATTGCTTCGCGCCACTCCTTGCTGTGTGGTCCAGAAAGAGCTTCGCGCGGATTTCGGGGCTCGATGACGCGTGGCGCCTTCGAAGTTGCGGTGTGAAGCCCGAGCAGCTGTAGTCCTGAGATGGTGCTGTCGTGGCGACGTTGTGGGATGACTTCCTGTACGTCGTCGTCATCGCTTTCTGGTTCAGGAGGCGCTAGTGGTGCTATGCCTCTGCCGCTTCCGCCTGTTCCGCTTCCGCCTGCTGCGCCCATTCCTCCTCCCGAAGAGTCGTCGTCGTCGTCGTCGCTGCTGCGTCGTTCTTCCCACACGAACTCGCCCCTCGTGTCTTGCTCCAAGATTGCTGCAGCGGCTTCGTCTTCGGGCGTTGCGTAGCTGTGCCAATCGTTAGCGTAGACACGGTTCGCGTTCGTTTCTTCGTCGCGGCGGAACTGGTCGAGGAAGAGGCGCTCGTAGAAGATGACGTCGCGAGCGTGAGCGATTTTCTGACTGAGGAGGTCCAGCACGATCCACGCCTTGTACTCATGACTGATGCCGAGGTGGATCCCCCAGCGAGCGCGGCTGGCGAATTTGCCGATGGTTGAGGTCGGCGGGCGGTATTGAACCATGCACCCCCATACGCGCAGCATGGAGGTATCCCCTTTGGTCCCGGTCCATTTGACGTGCGGGGACAGATTGCCGGTGATGGTGGTGGTCGAGAGTAGGTTGTGCACCCGTACTGCGTGGTGCATTGCGTAGGTCCAGTAGATCGGCGGCAATTTCGACTGCTTCATCAGCGCGCACACCTTCGTCATTAGCGTGCGGTTCGTCCGCTCAGCTACGCCCTGCTGCTGGTGCGCGTAGGGGAGAGAAATATGGTGCTCGATCCCCTTTTGCGTGAGGTAGGTTTGCATCTGGTTGCTCCTGAATTCTGTCGCGCCGTCAGATTGCCAGATTTTCAACTTCTTCCCAGACTGTCGCTCTGCGTGCGCCAGCCAGAGGCGAAACACCTCGTAGGCTCTGTCGCGTGACTCCACGTTCACGACCCACACGTAGCGCGTTCCAGCGTCAATGAAAGTGAGCGTGTACATTTCGTCCTCGGTTCCACAGTGCCCCACGTTCAAGAAATCGCTGTACGCCTTGTGTAGCTTGGGGTAGCGATTCGTTCCAGGTTCGAGCAGCGGGAACGGTTGGTGGCTCAGCGCAGCTTCGGGGCAGATGGTGCAGTTGCGCGGATGTGTCTCGCCTCTCACTTTGGAGCCATCAGGGCGCAGGAGTGCGCCAGGAGCGAAGACGCCTGCGTCGATGCAGTTTTTCAGCGTCGCACGTGAAGGGTGTCCGAGGCGCTGGTGCCAGAGAGTATCGTCAGCGCTAAAGCCGGAGGTGCGTATGTAGCATGCACGTGCTTCCTCAGGGTCTTCATCAGGTGCAGGAGCAGGTTCTGTTGCTACTCCCTCTGCTTCTTCTTCTTCTAGCGCGGTGGTCAGCATCAGCGCCAAGAACTCTCTGTCACGAATCTCAGAGAGCGGAATGTTGGTCCCGGGGATCGTGCCAAGTACGAACGCCGGTTCGCGTGGCTCAGGGGCAGGTCCGTAGACAGTGTGACGCGGGGTTGACAGCTCGTTGCCCTAGATGATGGTGTCCCATGGATCGCGACGCGGGGGGTATTCAGGAGGAGGTGCTGCGAGTGGAACGTGGCGCAGGGGACGGCGAAGAGGAACGACTGCAGGTGTTGCCTCAGTTTCCTCAGTTTCGTCCTCTCCCCCCTTTCGTTCTTCGCGGAAAGTACCCCAACCGCTATTGTCGGCGCTAGTTGCGGCGCCCCATCCGCCGCTCGCGTTAGCCCAGGTTCCGCCGGTGTCTCCCCAGCCGCCAGTGTCACTTGTTCCCCATCCTCCAGCGCTTCTTCACCCCCCTTCATTGGAGGCACTTTCTTCAGCCTCGGCTCCCCAGGTGGTGCAAGCAAAGGTTCCACGTGCTTCTGCGAGGCTTTGCTGGCGAAGCTCCTCAGCTTCGGGGCGCGCCAATTCTTCCTCTTGCTCCGCGGTGAGATTCTTCGATGAGTCGCGTCGATGAGAGTAGATGGCCAAAAACCTCTCGTAGGTGTAGGGTCGCGGCTCGCCATGGGCATCAAAGGTGCCTGTCGTGAAACTAACACAATAGGTAGTTAGGAGAATAGTTCGGCCTAGGCTTAGTAGCCTAGGCCAAGGAGGATCGAGTTGGTTGTGCCAAGGGTGTCGAGAGAATTTCGGGAAGAATGTGTTGTTCACTATAGATTTGCAATCACATATATGCAAGTGAACAAAGGTGCACCACCTAACACAGTTTGTAATAACTACACTAACTACAGCTACAGGCAGTTACAGATATAAGCTCTGACACTCCCCCATAACTGCCTACAGCAAGAGTTTGTGCAGAACACAACCTGCAGGGGTACACAAATAGCAGCAGCAGCAGGTAGGTAGGTAGGTAGTACAGCAGCAAAGGTACAGCAAGAATTCCTGCTATCTCCTCACCCTCCCCCTCCCCCTCCCCCCCACACTGCTGCAGAAGCAGCAGAGGGGGGAAGAGAGGAGAGGTGGAGGGACGGCTGCTGGATGGTCTCACACCCGCCACCCCAGTGCCACTCCCCCAGCTCCCCCACACCCTCACACCCTCCCCCCAGCGGCAACTGCAGCAGCGGGAAAGAAAGGAGGAGGAGGAGGGGAAGGGAAGTTGGTCTCACACCCGCCATCCCAATGCGACTCCCCCAGCTCCCCCACACCCTCACACCCTCTCCCCAGCGGCAGCTGCAGGAGTGGGAAATAAAGGAGGAGGAGGGGAAGGGAAGCATACCACCCATCACCCCAACACCCGCCACCCCCATACCCTCCCCCTCACGGCTGGAGGGAAACGAAGGAGGAGGGGGTGGGCGGG